GTTCATGGGGTCACGAAGAGTCGGACACGACTTAACGACTAAACAACAACAACAACTATCCCGTTTTCCCTCTTAGCTTGATCCAGAGGCTAATTCAAGCTGAACTACATGCCACCAGCGCTCATAAGCAAAGAATAACCTGAGCATATGCAGAGTGCATTCTCCTGATCACTAATCAAGCATCCTCCGCCTTCACATAGGAGGTGGCCTTGATCTCCCTAGCTCCCCCCTGCTGACACTAACCAAGTTCACATAACCCACCAATCCATAGTTTGTTCATGGTTTTCCCAGCCATTCCTAGAGAAGTGAAGGATTCCATATGGAACCTTCTGAATGCTAAGGAGTTATGGGCCTGCCCCCAGAAGGAAATGAAGCTTCTAGTCCTCAAGATCTGAATGGATCTGAAGCAGAGACATGTTAGATGGTGGGCGAAGATCAGTAGCAAGAAAGTTGCTCTGGATTTCAAGAAAAAATCCAAGCTTAGCTTGGAAATCTCAGGAACTTGGGAATTGCTAAAGACTTTCTCACGGAGCACAAACTCAGCACAGAAATTTGGCTTCCTCGAATTCCTAGGCATTTTCGCTTTGCCATTCCTGTCCTCAGTCAATAAGAATTTATGAACGGAAATAAGCATTTATATTATATCCCCTTTACTTTCAGTGACTGCTTTGCCCTGGATGTCTGGTAGCAGATCTGACCGCCTTAAATCTGAATTGCAATCTCTGAAAGATCTGCATTCACTGTAGATGTGCTTTTTCCCAAATAAATCTCCTTTAAAGCAACAGAACTGATATCTGAAAAGAGATGTGTTCAATTACAGCCTTGGGACAATGCTATCTTGCTTTCAAAATTTTCTGGGCAAAATTAGATTTTCAGATGCCCTTTAAATTCACTGGGCACAAGCTTTTATATATGGTAACTGCAACGAGGCTATTACATGCACCAAGATGGAAAAATATAGAAATACCCACAATGGAGGAATGGATGGTGAGGATAGCAGAAACTTGCAGAAATTGACTTGTTTGATTAGGTAAGGAACAACAACTACTTTGATAAAAGACTGGAATGGGCAAAAATGGGCAAAAATGAACTGAGGATCTTGGGATTTACTGACTGAAAAGGGTTGTTTCTGGGAAGAAGGGAACCATGCTATATAATTTGGGAGGGCAGAAGTGGTAATAATTATATACTGTATAATTTTTACAGTAATATACTGTAGTTTACTGTAACTACAGTAAAAAAGATCGGAAGTTGCTTCTTTCGATCTTGTTCTTTTTTTTCTTCTCTTGACTTTTACTGCTTTTCACTTTTTCTTTTACCTTTTCTTTTTCCTAATTCTAATTTTAGCACTGAAGATGTTACCTAGCTGGGTAATGAAACGTTTGCAAG